ATCACCCTCTTTCTCCTCTTCCCCTCACAGCTAAGATTTAGTCCATCAGAATGTCCTATTGTATTTATTTTCAAGTTTTTCCTGAATATATCCATTTTTTATCAATATATATAATCTTACCAAACCTCCTTGTGTGGTCTATTACAGTAGTCTATCTTATCTTCTATAATCTTTTTGTTACATGAACTAGCAGAATTTTTTAAAGTATAAATAAGATTATGACACTTTCTCATTCAAAGCTATCCTGTCCCAAATTTGTTGAATGATTTCCCATCCAAAACATCTTAACATGCACAAGGCCTTCTTAGTTGGCCTCTGCCTCCTCCCTCTGAGGTTTTATCTCCTAGTGGCTCCTGGCTCCTCACACTTCAACCACCCTGGCCTTGATACTGATCTTTGAACATGCCTTGCTGGTTTCTGCCTCAGGGCCTTTGTCCTTTTTTGTTTTACTCACCTAAAATATTCTACTTGTCATCTTGTCATCATGACAGCTCTTTGCTCAGATTTCCCATAAAAGAACACTTCTCCCCTTTCTATACTTCTACTCTTTTCTTCCTAACATACGTCTCCAACTGAATTACACTCCATGTTTACTTTTTTCCCAGACTAGAGCGTAAACTCTTTAAGGGCCTCCTACTTACTTCTCTCTGTACTATCTAGGACAGTAACTGACAAATAGAACTTTTGGGGACAATCAGAGCAATTTGCTTTTCCTTCTGTAAGAAATGTTCATTTATATAAGTGCTAATAATTTCTTTCTTTTTACCACTGTAGTAAAAAAAGAAATAGGTGGAGAAAAATCATGCTCTATTTTATGATTGGAATTTAATTTAGAAGTTATTTCTATTTAACCTCATGGCATTTTAATTTTGGGTATCATTTAATTTGGGGTACATATATGTTTGTGTTCCTTCTAGGGAAGATCTTACCGTGACCAACAGCTGCTTCTTCTCAAAAAGCACCTAGAAAATAATTACAGGAGCAGAGATCGAAAATGGATTGTTTTGTTTCCAGAAGGGGGCTTCCTCAGGAAGAGGAGAGAAACAAGTCAGGCATTTGCCAAGAAAAATAACTTGCCATTTCTTACACATGTCACTCTGCCAAGGTTTGGAGCAACAAAAATTATTTTGAGTGCTCTTGTAGTACAACAGGAAAATGGAAGTCCAGCAGGAGGAGATGCTAAAGAATTAGGTATGATGATTTTAGCATTTTTATGTTTTACCTTGTTGAAATTGAAGGATTTTCTGGACTTCCATAAGGTGATAATTGATGTTCTATTTTATATTTATGATTTTTAACTTTTCTAAAGACAAATACCCAGGGAGAAGAGAAAACTATAGTTTTTAATGTTTCTATTTATAAAGACAATTTATACTTATAATAATATATTCAAATAATACAGATATGCATAAAGTCAAAGATGTCTTTTCACTGCTTTGCCTATTACTCCAGGCCATTCCTCTGCCTCAGTAAACTTTCCTGTTACTATCTTTACATATTCGTGGAACTATTTCTGTAGTATAAATTCCACTCTTTCTTAGAAGTGGAATTTCTAGTTTAAGAGATATAGGTATAGGAATGACTTATTTGAAAAACTTCCTGTAACTGTCTTTACATATTTATAGAACTATTTCTGTAGTATATTCTTAGAAGTGGAATTTCTAGGTTAAAAGATATAGGTATAGAAATGACTTGTTTGAAAAACGAATCATAGGTATGCAAACACAAATAGTAATGATGTATGTTTTAATTTGTCAAATTTAGAAGTTTGTGTTTTTAATATGGAGAATGAATTTAATGCAGTTTGACAGAATTTATTAAGTGCCTTAAAGTGCTAATAAATGATTCATTATTCCACTGCATATAATACTTATCAACAAGAAATAAACCACAGTACAGTCAGAGAAGTCATCACAACATTTTCTTTTCTTTTTTTTTTTTTTTTTGAGAGGTTTTTGCTACAGGGTGCATGCGCTCGCCAGACAGACAGAGAGAGACAGAGAGACAGAAACCGAGAAATCACCCTCCAGGGGGGATGGCTACACCGCAATCCCTTCTCCTCTGTTCTCCTCTCGGGATCTTGGGCACGCATGCACACGCGCCCAGCCTGAGTTTTAAGCCACCAGGTCCAGGACGTGAACCGCGGTCAGCTACATGGGAGTCCAGTGACATAGCCATTACGCTAACTGCTGGTCCCAACATTTTCTTTGTAATGGCAAAAATTGGAAGTTGTTAGAAGGGAGAATTGATAAGTAATTATTAATATCCATTCAACAGAATACAACACAGCCATTACAAATTATCTTTATAGAAAGTTTTTATTGGCTCGGAAAAATCTTGTAAAAACAACTCTATAAACAGGCAGGCAATAGAGAGTGAGTGAAGGGAAAGATACCAAAATGTTAACAATGATTGCTTCTGAGCTGCATTATTATGGATGATTTTTCTCAATTTCTTAATACTTTTCTGAATTTTCCATTTTAAAAATAATGAGTATGCATTACTTTTATGGCTAGAAAAAACAAACTTCACTCAAAGATGCAACTGTGTTAGAGAGAGCTTGGTAAATTGTGACATTTTGCAAGAAGATATTTGTATCAACACCACAAAGACTTTGTTTGTTTTTTTTTTTTTGCTATAGGACATGTGTTCTTGCCAGAGAGAGTGAGAAAGCTACCCCCAGAGGGGATGACCACACTGCCATCCCTTCTTCATTCTCCTCTCTGGATTTTGGGCATGTGCACACATGTGCCCAGCATATTTTTGCCCAGCACAGTTTTCAAGCCACCTGATCCAGACTCAAACTGCTCAGCCATGTGGGATCCAGCTGCCTTAACCACTGACTGTTTTTAAAAAGTTTATCAAAGACACTACTATACAAGTTTGGTGATAAATTAAAAGACTGGAAGACAGTCACCTACTAGGCCTTTTTCCTTTGAAATATTTAGTTGTTTTTAAAAAATACTCTTTAGGGGACCAGCAGATGGCATAATGGTTATGTCACTGGACTCCCGTATGGCAGACCTCGGTTCAAGTCCCCAACCCGGTGGCTTGAAAACCACTCCAGGCACATGTACATGTGTGCCCAAGATCCCAGGGGGGAAAGGGAGGAGAAGGGATGGCAGCATGGCCATACCACCCCATGCTTGGGGGGGGTGATTACTCACTTTCTTTCACTGTCTCTCTCTCTTTTCTACAGTGAGCACACATGCCTAAGGCAAAACCTCTTTAAAAAAATACTCTTTAGATAAAATGAAAATAGAAGTGATTGGCCCTTAGATATATGACTTTTAAATGGCAGTAAGGACCAGCCGTGGAAATAATGCCTGTGAGATTGCACCAAGTTTTCCTTTCATTTGTTTTTTCCAAGCAGCTGCTTGGCAGGCAGCTCTCTTAATCTTTCACCATCTATTAAAAAGACAAATTGAAAGAGTCTTTTAATAGAAGAGGAAGATTCAGAATAGCTTCACTGCTGGAGAGACACTGTGGCAATGTCAGCCAAGCCAGAGCTTAAAGGCAAAGGTCTTCCAAGCAGGATTAGTTGCCCTAATAAAAGACTGCTGTTTTAGAATTGCTCCACCCAGCCATACCCTGTGGTGTTCTAGACCTCAAAGGTCTGATCATTGTCAGAGTGATTACGTAATAGTGACAATAATTGTTCTTTCTTTTGGAGAGAAACATTTCCTGTTTATAACCAAAGCAGATTTCTTTATTACTTATCCTAACTTACTTACAGTTTTTTATTTTAGCTGTTTAGGAATAATCTTAAGTATACCTGAAAACTAATTTTACCTATATTTTACTATCCTGTGTATTTTGATATTTTACATTTTATTTTCTTTAGTGCTCATATTCAAAGTGTTTTATTCCATGTACACATAAACCATGTCTTTGTGTGTGTTTTAGTATGTAATCCATACAGATATATCAAAATTAAGTTCTGTTTGATGAACTTTAAAAGGATTTGTATTTTTGTTTATTTATTTATGGTATGATTTAACAGTAAGTTGAACTCCGGAGACTTTTTTCATCACTGTATTATAAAATTTTTCAAACATACATAATAGTTGAAAGAATTTTATAGTGGATATCCATGAACTTAACTCACTACATCCTATAATTAACACTTTTCTCTGCTTTGTCACATCTCTCCATTTTTTTTTTTTGAGAGTTTTTTTCACTATAGGGCGTGTGCGCTTGCCAGACAGACAGAGAAACAGAAAGCGAGAAATCACCCCCCAGGGGGGGTGGCCATGCCGCAATCCCTTCTCCTCCATTCTCCTCTCGGGATCTTGGGCATGCACGCACACGCACCAGGCGTGGGTTTTAAGCCACCAGGTCCGGGACGCGAACCGCGGTCAACTACATGGGAGTCCAGAGACATATCCATTACACTAACTGCTGGTTCCCATTCTTCTATCCTTCCATTATCCATTTCTTCTCTCTTTTCTCTAATACATCTTAAAATCAGCTGCAGACATCAGTATACTTCACTCTCAAACATTTTAGCATATGTATCATTGGTAGCCTGTTAAAATGTGCTTCTTTACATGAATTCTTTTCCTTTAGCAATATGCTGTTTAAAAATTAACTTTTTTACTTGTTTTCTTTTACAGGTATTTTTCCCCTTCAGAATATCTTTCTAAAATCTTTAAAGGGTTTTAAGCCAGTTTAAAATTACTTGACATACAGAAGTAATATATCATTGATTCCTAATGCACATTTGGACTTATGCTTGAAAATGAGTCTTCCTTTATGGTGGATCTTTAGGGCACTTCAGACAAAAAATAGACCATTACACTTTAAAGTCTGGTTATCATCATTCACTGTGAGGATTCGCCTCTCAATTTTTACTCAACTTTGTTTTCCATTCTGGGAATAAAAACAGTATATAAAGGACCAAACTAAACAGAACTTCCCATCCCCTCTTCACAACAGGGGTTACCTATTTTACCTAACAAAGGCAGGAAGGTTTTGGCTTTATTTGTACAATATTTAACTTACTAAAATTGGGGGAGTTTTCCTTCTTTTCTTAAATAAGAGCAGCAATAATGTGTTTCTGAAAATTCTTAATTTTATGGCCATGTTCTGACACTCAATGTCTCCATGTTATCATAAAGCTGAGTGTTTGTATTATATTATGTTGAGTTAATGGTTTTGTTTATTTTGAAGTCTGTTTTTCATTTTTGTGATGTGATACTTTAGCTTCTGACCTTTTCATAGGCTTTTTTTTTTTTTGGAGAGGTTTTTGCTATAGGGCATGTATGCTTGCCAGAAAGACTGAGAGACAGAAAGTGAGAAATCACCGGGGGGATGGCCATGCTGCAGTCCCTTCTCCTCCACTCTCCTCTTGGGATCTTGGATCCCCCCACGCGCGCCCCCCCGCCGTGAGTTTCAGTCACTGGGTCTGGGACTCGAACTGCAGTCAGCCACATGGGTGTCCAGTGACATAGCCATTACGCCAACTGCTGGTCCCAGCCCAATTTTTTATGGAAGTGATAAAAGAGAAATTAGACACTGATAAGGCAGTGCATAATTGTACTGAATACTTAAATGGTGCATGCTCACTAAATAACAGTGCTCTGTTATTTGTTAATTTGTTTTGAGGTTCATCCATTTTATAATATTATGGGAAGTGCTTAATTTCATCTTAAGTGCATTATAGGACAGTAGCACCAAAGTTCATCCTGTTTTCTTAAATCAAAAGGTATATCAATATGCTTTACACTACTCAAGTCGTCTATACTATGTGATTTGCTGCAGATAATGTAAAATTGTTCTAATTTTAAGTCATTTTCCCCTTATTCTCAGACAGCAAATCAAAAGGCCTCCAGTGGATAATAGATACAACTATAGCTTATCCCAAAGCTGAACCAATAGATATTCAAACCTGGATCCTTGGATACAGGAAACCAACAGTCACACATGTATATTATAGGTAAGAATTCTTCATTAGTACTCATTACATATCCAACGATACTACCTCAGGAGAGTGTGAATGTATTTATATTTAATTTTTAATTAGACCGTGGAAATAGTTGGCTCAAAATTATTCTTAAAATGAATTTTAATAGGAAAGTATTATTTGAAGTAGTTATTTTAACTGAGTGTTGAAGTTCTCTAAAAATGACATTCCCGAAGCACTATTCAAATTGCCTGACACTCTTGAGTAAAAGACACTTAAAGGGTACATATCAAGGATAAATATACATGTACTCATTTGGGTTAAGTAAATATTTATTAATAGAAATGGAATTTATTTTAAAATCACTAACCCACATAAGATTTTTTGAATGATTATATAATACTTCAACTGTGATGTATACTTTGGAGTTTTTAATATTTTAATATGCCTATGGCATTTGTATAAACAACAGAAAAATATTTATTGAATATTTGGTGCTAATTTCTTGGGATTTTTTTAAACATACCTTTTTTTTTTTTTTAGGAATTTTATGTAAAATTTCATGTGTGTTTGTTTCAAAGCATGGTACCTGTGGGACCTGTGTATCGATTGATTTGATCCTTTATGGGCCGTATAGCTTTACTCTGTTTCTTTGTCAAAGATTTCAGCCCTTAGCAGCTAACTTACAAATGTGAGGAATTGATTCTGAAGATCAAAATTGCCAAAGAGGGAACCAGCAGTTAGCGTAGTGGCTATGTCGCTGGACTCCCATGTAGTCCACCGCAGTTTGCGTCCTGGACCCAATGGCTTAAAACTCACGCCGGGCGCGTGTGCGTGCGTGCTCAGGATCCCGAGAGGAGAATGGAGGAGAAAGGATTGTGGTGTGACCACTCCCCCTGGGGGGTGATTTCTCGCTTTCTGTCTCTATGTCTCTCTCTGTTTGTCTGGCGAGCGCACACACCCTATAGTGAAAACCTCTCAAAAAAAAAAAATTGCCAAAGAAGCCCTCAATTTAAGAGGAAAGCTACTCAAATTACATACCCATTGTTAGTAGATAAATACATGTTTTCATGTGGAAACCATCAGAGGTTTACAAATATATAGAGAGAGTGGGAAGAATTTTGAACAAATTTTAAAGCTTAAAATTGAGTATTCTAGTTTGAGTGTTGATATGTGAAGAATAACTGTAAAGTTATAGTGATCCTGTTGTATAACTTAACATTGCTGAATTATAAAGTTCATATGTAAGGTAAGAATGTAATTCCTGATTGATGACTATTTCATATATACTTTACATTTTACTTAAACTACTGAATACTTACTTATAGACAAGGTGATGTGCTAGGCCCTGCAAGAGTTTTTCTGGAAAGTTTTATTTTCATATATGTATGAGACATATCTTCCCTTCACTAAGTTTCAAACTGTAATCAATAAATGAAGGTCAGAATTGACATCTAAGCCAGAAATACATGGTTGCTGGTGATATGTATTAGATATAGGAGCAATGTACTTGCATTGGCTATATGTAGCTCTTCCTAGTAGATCATACCCCCCCCCCAAAAAAAAAACAAGAGAGAAAGAAAACATTCTATTAAATAGACATTTTATTATAGTTGACTTTGCCTCTTTTTTTTTTAACCAAAAAATAGAGGAAATTTTAGTTTATAGATAAAGAAAGAAAGAATCATAAAGGACCTTGGATATTAAAGAAATGATCCATTTTTAGAAAAATTATTTCAACAAGAAAAAGTGTAAGGCTCTTAAATTCACTTGAAACAGAGGTTCTTAATTCTGGGACTCATGAAGGACCTCAGAGAAGTTGTTTTTTAGGTTTTTGCTATAGGGCATGTGTATGTACTTACCAGAGAGTCAGTGAGAAATCATCCCCCAAAAGGGATGGCCATGCCACAATTCCTTCTTCATTATCCTCCTGGGATTTGGGGCATGCATGCACACACACCCGGTGTGATTTTCAAGCCACAATTGGCTCAAGTTATTGAACATTCATCAGTAGCTAGATCATTTTAAAATTTTCTGTAATATATTTCTTTCCTCTTTGGTAATTAAAGCTACCAAATAAGTTCCTCTACATATTATGTACTTCACTGGAAAAAAATGTGACAAGTGTATGGAGCTCTCCAAGAAAAAAAATGGCCTTTTCCCTACTGAGTTTTTGCAATTCCTTTCTTACTGTTTTATATGAATGAGTTCTTAGAAGAAAATTGTGCTTTATTTAAATAAGGAAAGAATATCTAATTACCCAATGTTTGGGGCAGAATGGTTTTTTGTTGTTTTTTGTTTGTTTTACTTCTTATTTCATGTTCTTTTATACATTCAATCACAGTATTTAGCTTACAAAGTGAATATTTCAACATGTGTACATTTCTCCCTAGTCCAGGTGATAATACTATAAAGTTATCTTCAACAGATAATACCCCATTTCTTTGTCCCATTAATGTTTTGCCTCTCTATTTTTCTTCTAAATGTCCTTCTTCAGACTCTACTCTTTCACCCACACTACATCTGGTATCACAACCATTTACTGTGTTTCTATATCCTTTAGTCAATTAGTTTCAGTCATAGAGTGTAGACACTAGGTATATATTAACTGGGGACATACAATGTCTCTCCTTCATAGCCTGGCTTGCTCCACTCAACAGTAAATCTTCCATATTCATCTACTTTCTGTCAAAAGCCAGTATCTTGTTTTTTTATGGCTAAATAGTATTCCATAGAATATATGTGCCACAGATTTTCAATCCATTCATCTGTTCATGGGCATTTGGGTTCCATATCTTAGCAATTGTGAATAGTGCTGCAATAAACATCGATGTGCAAGCACTTTTCCAATTAAGAATTCTTCTGTCCTTTGGGTAGCTACCAAGGAGTGGGTTTGCTGAATCATATGGTAGTTCTATTTGTAGATTTTTGAGGAATCTCCAAATTGTTCTCCACAGTGACTGGACCAATTTGCATTCCCACCAGCAGTGTACGAGAGTTCCCCTTTCACCACACCCCTGCCAGCACTTATCACTTTTTGTCTTTTTAATCTTAGTCCTTAAAATATTTTCCCATTCTGAGGGCTGTTGATTCATACTAATTACTATATCTTTCGCCATGCAAAAACTTCTTAGTTTGATTTAATCCCACTTGTCTATTTTGGGGATTATCGACTGTGCTTTGGAGGTCTTATTTAAGAAATCTTTGCCTACCCCTATGTCTTCCAGAGTTTCTCCAATGTGTTCCAGGAGCAATTTTATAGTTTGAGGTCTTATGTTTAGACCTTTGATCCACCTTGAGTTGATTTTTGTCAATGGTGAGAGGTAGGGGTTCAGATTCATCTTTCCGCAGGTGGAAATCCGGTTTTTCCAGCACCATTTGCTGAAGAGATTTTCCTTTTTCCACTGGATTGACTGGTACCCTTTGTCAAAAATCAGTTGACTGTATGCTTGGGAGTTTATTTCTGGGGACTCTATTCTGTTCTGTTGGTCCACCTGTCTGTTTCTGTGTCAGTACCCTGCTGTTTTGATTACCACAGCTTTGTAGTATATTTTTGGGTCTGGAAGTGAGCTCATTCCATTCTTCTTGTGCAGGATTGCTTTGGCAATACGAGGTCTTTTATAATTCCAGACAAATTTTAGATTTTCTTTTCCAGATTTGTGAGGAATGTGTCTGGTACTTTGCTTGGAATTGCACTAAATATGTAGATTAATTTGGGTAGAATTGCCATTTTGATTATATTAATTCTTCCAATCCAGGAACATGGGATGTCTTTACACTTTTTTGTGTCATTTTCAATTTCTTTTTTTAGCTTCTTGTAGTTTTCCTTGTGGAGGTCTTTAACTTCTTTGGTTAGCTTTATTCCTAGGTATCTTATGCTTTTTGTGGCTATGGTAAATGGAATTACTTTTTTCAGTTCTATCTCCATCTGCCTGCTGTTTGTATATAGAAATACTATAGATTTCTGTATGTTGGTTTTGTATCCTGCAACTCACTGTATTTATGTATTACTTCCAGGAATTTTTTCATGGATACCATTGGGTCTTCTATGTATACAATCATGTCATCTGTAAATAGAGAGAGTTTCATCTCTTCTTTTCCTATTTGAAAATGCCTTTTATTTTTTCCTCTTTTCTGATTGCATTGGCAAGGACTTCCAGTACTATACTGAAAAGGAGTGGAGAAAGTGGGTATCCTTTTCTTGTACCCGTTTTTAGTGGAAAAGCTTTCAGCTTTTCTCCATTCAGACTGACGTTCGCTATGAAAAACCCATAGCGAACATCAGCCTGAATGGAGGAAGGGGCAAAATATTTTTTTAGATCCTAAACTTCTGTACTGATGCTATGGAGAAGAAAATAAGAATGCAATAGCTTGCTTTCAGTGCTCTAAAATAAACCATTTTTCCCTTCTAGTAGCAATTTTTTACATTAATTCACTTCTTATTTCTTGGGTTTATGTTAGTTTTTAGGATTTTTGGATGAAATGAACACTAAATATACATGTTGTATATAAAATGCCATTTAACTATACCACATAGATAAGAAAGTAAACATTCATAGCAAAGTTACATACTAGATCCTATCTTCCAAAAAGATTTTGTTGTCTTTCAAAAGTTGGACTTTTAGAGCACGAATTTAGAGCTTATTCCTTAGAAAACTTTTGGCAAGTAGTGATTAATTAGCATCAGGGCCTGGGTGCCTAAGCCTAATACATACTTAACTTCTCAGGCAGTCCATCCTGGGTCTTATGGCTAGAGATTGTCCCAACTTCAGCAAATGTATCATTGTGAGCACCAATTGGTATGTGGTAAAAAAAGTGTTTTTAAAAACTACAAAGCACCTTACAAATATAAAGTGCTGTTAGTAAGGTATAGAAAGTACATATAGATTATTGGTAAATCCAGTATTTATTAATGAGCATTCCCCATATATTGGATCTCAGCCACTTATTTCTTTAGAGGAAAGATGTCCTTTCTTATTTATTCCTTCCCAATACTATACATTGCTTAACTAAGAACACATTTTTATTAATAT